CCCCTCAAATTGTACCACCTCGAAGCCTCACAAGGCCAGCCCTAGCTAATAGTAAGCCAGTGACCCCAGAACTCTGAAGGACAATGCTCTGTGTATCCGGTTCTGAGGACAGCCTTAGCTGTAGAATGCTCTTTGTTCAGAGGAAAACTTGCTGACTTCCTCATTAGAATCCCAGTGGAACAAAAGGTGTCTTTGTAACACTATGAAAGGCTTATTATTGTGTCTGATGCCTCCTGCCAAGGACTGGCTGACAATCTCATTGCATCATCACCTTTTCCTTCTTCCTTCTTTGTGGATTTATTTTTATTTATTTTATATGTAGGTAGAGATGTTAGCCAGGACAAATAGTTTCACTGCAGAATTCACAAAACCCTTTGCAAGGTACATTTGCACTACACAGGAAAGAAGGGATATTTGCCAGGCTAAATGTCTCCTCCTATCCGCATTGAAATCTTTTCCCTGGTTTACTGATAACTGATTAAGCCAGCAGATCATTTTTGGCACAGGGTGGATTTCTTTTCCCTAAAGATTCATGCATTGTCCTAGAACCAAACATTTCATTCTCAGCTTAATTTGATTTATGGGCACACAATTTATACAAGACATTGGGAGATGAGATGAATTGGGTTGGGAAGATGCTATGATTCAGAGTACAGAGACAGAAATGTCTTCCAAAATTAGTATTAATACTAATGACTAGCTTCTGTATAGCACTTTAAGGTCTGCAAAATGCATAGCAAATATTATTTTATCCTCACAATGACCCTGGGAGGTAGGAGTTACTATTGTGCTTAAACTGAGGCAGACAGATATTAAGTAACTTATCTACCATCACACAATAAATGTCTGAGGTGGGATTTGAATTCAAATCTTCCAGATTTCTAGTCCATTGAATCACCTACTTGCTAAAATGGACTACCCTCACAATTAATGTTAGTTAGAGGGAGATACATTATCTTCCAAAAACTTCTTTTGGAACATACCTAAGATGCTTCTTCATAAGTCAGATAGAAGGGGAAAAAGGTTTTTAGATGACTAATCAGTAGTGTGGTATGGAAAATGTAACTTTAGTGGCCTTGAGCTAGTCGAGGCCTCATCTGTAAATTTCTTCATCTGTAACATGGGGATTGGCACAGCTAGGCAGTGCGGTGGATAGAGTGCCAGGTTTGTAGTCAAGAAGATTCATCTTCCTGAGTGCAAACATGGGCTCAGACACTTAGTAGCTGTGTGACCCTGGGCAAGTCACTTAGCCCTTTTTGCCTCAGTTTCCTCATCGGTAAAATGAGCTGGAGAAGGAAATGGCAACCCACTCCAGTATCTATACCAAGAAAACTCCAAATGAGGTCACAAAGAGTTGACTGGAAAATGACTGAACAATAACACGGGGACCGGGCAGGATGACCCTTGGAAGGTACCTTGCAGAAAGTAGGATCTTAGATTCATTCTTCATTTTACGATTCAGGCAAATTTAAAGGCAGTTCATATAATCCTTATATTTTTGATTCTGGAACAAGTAATAAGGTGATAATGATGGGGACAAAATCCCAATTACTCTACATACCTCTACATACCTCTCTATAACCACCTAAATATTTCCCATGGATGTCATGCCGGTTTACAGAGGGGCATACCTATCTGGAAATGATAGATCAGTCTTGCCCAGGTGCCAATGTCATCCTCACCATCCTCATTGTTTAGTCTATTCAAAAGCAATAGTATTATCATTCCACTTCAGAAAGAAGATTATCAAATGGAACAGTGAACTTATTAAAAGGTACCTGTGAGCAAGCTGGGGCTTCAGATCTGAGAACTTTCCTTTGATGACTAAAACACAGCTTAAGGAGTGTATTTGCTAGCCAGGATTTATTTAATTAATTAAAATTAATTTAATTTAAAATTTATTTAATATATTTAATCTTAATTTATTTCATTTAATTAATTTAAGCTTCAGAGTGAAATGTCCTGGGGTAACACTTTTATCCAAGGAATTGAATCAGAAAAACATTCAAGAGTCTTTGGTGGACTTTGATTCAAAGATTGCAAGGGATGTGACTGTATCAGAAAGGAGTCTTCCTTTCTCCTCATCTTAAAGGAAGGAGCACAATGAAATCTAAAGGCAAGAAGTGAGCAAGATGAGATGAATGATACTGGAAAGATGCTGTGATTCAGAGTACAGGGACAAAAATGTCTTCCAAAATTAATAATAATAGTAATAGTAGTAATAACTAGCATTTATATAGCACTTTAAGGTTTGCAAAGTGCATAGCAAATATTATTTTATCCTAACCAGAGTAGACTAGCCATGACAGAATGAAGGAACCCCAGCAACTCCATTCTGGGATGCTGTCCAGGGTCCCCACAACTATGGTTGCTGGAGCTGCCTGGTGTGAGAGAAAAAGACAAAATCTGAATTGAGTCAGACAAAGCACATGGAGCTGATATAGAGTGGCTATAACTGTCTCTGTTGCCTAGAACAAAAGTGGGAACTCTCTTGCTTTCTTATCCTTTACAAAGTGAATTCAGACTGTCCTGAATGTAGAATAAATTGGCAGTTTCTAGTGGGAGGAGATGTGTGAGAAAGGAATAAGGCAACTTCTCTTCTGGTTTCTCTGCAGAGAGATTTAAAAGAATCCCATCCCCATGGAAGGGCAGAGTTTTGGCATTGACTAATATAATAGCCATGAGGATATCTGAAAGGAGGAGTCAGAGAGATAGGGGCTAGAGAGAGAGAGGAGAGAGTTTTTTCTAGCCAATCACCTTATATCTCTCCACCCGACCCTGCCATTGGTACTCTAACATCTCTCTATGGACTGTATGCTGTGGGAGAGTATCCTCTCCCTCAGGTTGAGTCAACTGCTGCTATCAATCAACATAAGCATGTGGATGGACCCTCATTTCAGATCATCCCAGGGTTGCTTGGTCGATAGCACCAATATCTGATTATATGGAAAGACACTTTTCTTATGCAAAATATAAACGCAATGGGGCATTTGCAGAGAGTGCCTTTGTCAATAATGGATGCCTTGGGCATGGCTTTGGTTTGCCTCTTGGTCCATGGGATCTAGGGTTTGTATAAACTGAGTAGCACAGACTCTGATTAGTTGAAGATCCTTGCAATCCCCAGAGAGTGGCTGAGTGAAACCCTTGCAAGAGATGTGAGATCCAGTAAATGATGGGGCAGCTGGAGATGAAGCCAAGGGATAAAGAAAATGAGACAGAAGCAGAGGGAGGAAAGAAAAAAGGCACCTAGAACTGAGGGGACTTTGCCTTGACTTTCATTTTACTCCTGCCAACAAAGGTAGAAACTTTTGGATAGCAAGGCTTTGCTACTTATGTATGGCAAGTAATGGCTGCAGCACCCCAGGGCTTCAGCACCCTCATCCTGAGAGTTAACACCATCTCAAGCATTCAAATTTCAGAATTCATGTTCTAGAAAAGTCACTCACATCCTTACTGTTTTCTAACCTGGAGTTCAGTGCTGATGGGGCAGCTGGGATTTGTGGACTCACATACCCCTAGGACTGGGAAATGGGTGATGGAATGACTGCCCATTATTTATTTTATTGTTATTTATCTTTTTTCCATCTCCTTGGAAGGAGCAGCTTGGTGGGGTGGATAGAAAAGTGGCCGTGGACCCAGAAAGACCAAGGTTCAAGACACATACTGGCTGCATGACCTTGAGTTGGTTAAGCTCTCAGTGCCTTAGGCAGCACTTACGTTTCAGAGAAGGCGCTGACCTCTATTGGTAGAGGGAGTTTCTTCATTTAAGACTTCCTTGTAGCAATGAAATCACAGGTTCAACCTCAAAGAGATTGAAGGAAAGGACCCATGTGTTTAAAAATATAATATTTTGTAGTTTTTTTGTTGTAGCAATGAACTGGAAATTAAAGGAGTACTCATCAATTTGGGAAAGACTGAACTACGTATATATGTATACACACACGCTATATATGAATACATTGGAATGCTATTGTGCTGTTAGAAGTGATGAAATGAATGGTTTTAGAGAAACCTGAGAAGGCTTATATGAAATGATGAAGAGTGAGGTGAGCAGAACCAGGACAACAGTTTCTACAGAGGCAGAAATATTGTGACATTGAACAACTTTTGAAAGATTTAGAAGCTCTGATCAGCATAATGACCAGCCATGATTCCAGAGACTAATGGTGAGGCACTCTATCCACCTCCTGATGGTGTGGTGAGGGACTCACAATGCAAAGGAAATATTTTTAAGACCCCAAAAAATAATCTATATAATGACAACAGCCTTGTGGAGACAAACAGCTATGAAAGAGTTAGGACCTTTGATTAATGCGTGAACAACCACCAATTCCAGAGGACTTGAGATGAAGTATGCTACCTATCTCCTGAGAACTATATGATGGACTCAAAGTATAGAATGAGACACACATGGCTTGGTTTGATTTTGTTTTTTGGACATAGCCAATGTGGGGATTTGTTTTGTAAAATTATTCATATATGTCACAAAGGTTTTGTTTTATATTTGCTTTTACAATGGTTATGTATGAGGAAGGTAGAAGGAAGAGAAAATATGCCTGTAATTAAAAAAAAAGAAATTAAATTAAAAAAAGAAATCACAGGTGCACTTCACATTACTGTCTGTGTCCTCAGTAAATGTCATTTTGCCTAACTATAATGCCATGTGTTTAATTCTAGTTAGGTTGAAAAAAAATTCCATGAAAAATGAGGACTTGTGAAAAGATAAAGGACTCAAGTTTTGGAAACCTGAATATAGCGATGGCCCCATATCTATATTTACCTAAAGATAGGTATAGATAAAACATCTCTTTGTTTTATTAGTCTGGCTAAGTCTGGAGAGGCTCATCTGTGTGAGTGATAAATTGTGTGTAGATAAATCCATACAAAGCCAGTCACAGTAACTGATGAATACTACCTTTTAAGGTGTAGAGGGGTCGTGATATGCATTGAGAGATAAAGCAAACCAGTGAAATCGCAGATCTTGAAACGTTTGCCATTAATGTTTATTGGAAAAGAGTCATCACATTGAACATAGTTAAATGCCTTGAGTCCAAGATATGCATCGACAACTGCTTCCCCTTTGGCCTCAGTATGCCTTCTTCCAGGAGGCAGCTTTTAGAGAACATGAACTCAAGGTTGAATTTGAGCATGACCTGAAAGAGAGGATGGAAATGCTATCATTAATTCTGCAAAGGCAGCCTTCCTGGGATGCACTGCACATTTTGCTTTTCTACTACAAACACCCTAATATGTCTCTTGACAGCTGTCATCTAGTTTCTAGGATTGGGAAACGTTCAACCATAGACTCGATGAATAACGGGAAGGTGAAGGCTTCCAGATAGAATTTGAAACATTGACTTTGAAGTTCTCTGTTTGTTCCTGGGATAAGAACACATTGGATATTGAGTGTTTGAATTCCTTAGCCAACTGTGCCATTCTTGCCTTCACTTTTGGGGTAGAGGATTGGCTGCTTATCAAATTTAGAAAAGTAAGAAATACTTTCTAGGATTTCCTTGTCTTGAACTTCATCCTTCGGATGCTATGTTTGTACCGACTGAATGAAATGGACATGTGTGTCTTTGCAGTGCCCAGCATAGTGCCTGGCACATAGTAGGTGTTTGGTCAATGCTTATTGATTGATTTAGTCATTGATTGATTGACTGATGGTACCCCTTATCTAGGGAATCGGATATAATCTAGACTACAGAATCATCAAGTTTATCTTTCATTACTGCATTCAGGGCTTTGCTTTTTAGATATCTGATATGGTAAGTGTGGGAGAGGCATAAAAAGCAGAGATTAGAGTCAGAGAACCTGGGTTCAAAATCTATCTTTGAGGCTTACTACCTGAGTGACCTTGGGCAAGTGACCTCATCTCACTGGGGCTCATGTTCTTTATCAGTAAAATGAGAGCATTGGATCAGATTACTTCTGAGGCCCTTTCTAGCTATAGATCTCTGATTTATTGGTGCTGTGACTTAAAAAAGCTACTAATGGTAAGTTTTGTTCAATCATTTTAGTTGTAGCCAATTCACCATGACCCCAGTGGGGGTTTTCTTGGCAAAGATACTGGAGTGGTTTGCCACTTCCTTCTCAAGCTCGTTTTCTCGCTGAGGAAGCTGAGGCAAATAGGGTTAAATGACTTGCCCAGGGTCACACAGCTCTTAAGTGTGTCTGAGGCTAGATTTGAACTCAGGAAGATGAGTCTCCCTGATTCAAGCCCAGCACTTCATCCACAATGCCACCTAGCTACCCATTAATGGTAACACCTAATGTATAAAAAAAAAAAAAGTCTTGGTTATAGTGAAGAAATGTTTTCATCTGCTTTCCAGCCTGAGCAGCCAGGAGACATAAAGGGTAGAGAGCTAGCCTTAGAGTCCATAAGACTTGCTTGGGATGAAGTCTTGCTCCAATATGGACTTGCTGTGTGGCCCTGGGTCAATCATTTGTCCTCTCAGTGTCCTGGACAACTCTAACATGATAAATTGCCGGGCAACTGGTGACCTGGATTAGTGGAGGCAGTTTTCTTACTGGGAGCTCCTTATATTGATCAAATTATTAAAAAAAAGTATTTTTTTTCCTAGCCTATCCTGTAAGAGACTTGATGCCCATGAGAAACTCTTCCCATCACCTAGAACCCATCAGATTATGCAGAGATTCTTTGGCTCTACCACTGTAGTCCAGCACCCCTCCCCCATTACCTAGAACCCATCAGATTGTGCAGGAATTCTCTGGCTCCACCATTTTAGTCTAGCACCCCTCCCCCCATCTCCTAGATCAGTAGTGGCAAACCAGAGGCAGCACTCCCCAGTGGAGCACAACCCGGATTAAAATTTAATTGGGAAATATTTAAGAAAATAAACAAAAATACCATAAAACATAGATATTACATTTTAAAAGTTAAATCAATATACTGCCCCCAGGGATCCTTATTTACCCTTTAGTGGTCCACAGTTCCTATGTGAGTTTGATATCACTGACCTGGATTGTGGCAAAGCCTCCTAATCTGTCTCCCTGCCTCAAATCTCTCCCCCTACTCTGGATCCTCCTATGGCACTGCCGCCCATTAACTGAAGATTGGACCATGTCCCTCCCTGGCTCAGTCAACTCCATGGGCTTCCTAGTTCCTCTCAGATAAAATATAAATTTGTCTGTTTACCTTTTAAAGCCTTTCACAACCTGGTTCCAACCTATGCTTCCTGCCTCCTTGTAAATCACCCTTCGCGCTCCTCATATGTGAGGCTCCATCTTCTTTCTGCCTGCCCTCCCTTGACTAGAATGCATGCCCTCTTTACCTCTACCCCCGGATCACTCTCTTCCTTGAATATGCAGCTCCCTCACCATCTTCTTCATGAAGCCTTTCCTGATCCCCTCCCCCAAATGTTTCTGCCCTCCCTCCCAAACGACCTTTTATGAGCTACTGTATATGGATTTGTATTAACTTTATGCTGTATGTATTTATTTGCATAGGTCCTTGTTTTCTTTTCTATTAGAATTTAAGCTCTTTGCCAGTAGGGATTTTTTCTTTCTTTTTCCTTGGATTTTTATTCCTTATCACAGTGCACCATAAATACTTGTTTATTGCCTAATTGACTCACCTTCCATGTGTAAAAGTCTTGCAAGAACTTACGGTGCTATCTGAGTATAAACTATTATGTATTAAAGTACTATTCATTCCAAATTTGGGCACATTATAGGTTACTCTTGTTTTTGTGGACTGGTTTGAGAGCCTAATCAAAATTAAGAATGGAAGAAAATGATACCAACTTCTAGACAACCAACTTCCTTGCAAACATTAGGAATATTCTTATTGATTCCCTCACTCATGATGGCAACTGTACTCAATCTGTTCGTCAATCAGGAAGCTTTCCCATCGCACCTGTAGCCTCAATACACATAACACGTAGAGCAGAGCACCTAGGTTCCTGCTTCCCCAAGAAGACCGAGTTCCCCCCTTGTCAAAAATTTTCAACATCATCATTGTTTCTCTCCTCCTATTCTTTTTTTTCTTTTCTTCTTTTTTCTTTTGGTCACAAGAGAAGTATCCTGACTCTTCACTGGGGTTAATCTCTATCTCTGTTCTGGATTCCCACGACTTCCTGACTTTTGCTATAATCGTTCCTTCTGTCTCATGCATTTCAGCGTCTCAAACTCAAAGTTTCCCATACCAGGCTTATTATCTTATTGTCCAAATCTGCTTCTTCTTTTGATATACTCATTCCTGGCACTGGTCCCATCGCCTACATAGTCTCCCAGGTTTGAAACCTTCATGCCATCCTTGCCTCTTTACTCTGTCTTCAGCAGTTCCCTGCTTGCAAAAATCATCAGCTCTTTCCAGCTCTAAAAAACTCTTCTTTGATGCTTTTGGCCTGTCTAGGCGCTGTTCCATCTCTTTCCAAACTTCCAAGCCTTAACTGTTTGCTGCCACTTTCGCCTTACCGGTGCATCCTCAGTGGCTGGCCTTCTGGCTTCCAACACTTAGACTATGGTGATAAACTTCCTAATTGGTACTACGGCCCTGCAGTAGATCCCTCCCATCTCCTATCCATAGCCAAAGGTATATTGCTATAAATACCAGTCTTACCATGTTTTTGTCATTGTTTGTCCTTTTTTGAGGAGGACCCATGACATCAAGGGTGAATTGGATTTAAGTGAGGCAGCTATGTTATAACTAAGTGGTGCAGTAGGTAAGAGTATTAGACTTGGAATCAGGAAAGTTCTGAGTTTGAAGCTGGCCTCAGCCACTTCTAGCTATGTGACCCTGGGCAAGCTGCTTAACTTGTTTGCCTCAGTTTCTTCATCCTTAGAATTGACTCCCTACTGACGTGTGCTCCTAGAATCCTTGGCTTCCTTCAAAGCTTAGCTCTAATACTACCTCATATGTCACACCTTTCCTGATCCTCCCAGATCTAGAACCACCCCTGTTATCACGAAATTATCCGGCATTTTGGCAAATCTGTTGTATTCTATTTTGGTCGTTGTTCAGTTGTTTCAGTTGTGGCTGATTCTCTGTGACCCCATTTGGGATTTTCTTGGCAAAAAATACTGGAGTGGTTTGTCATTTCCTTCTCCATTTCACTTTACAGATGAGGAAACTGAGGCAAATAGGGTGAAGTGACTTGCCCCAATAGTGTGGAACTCAATTAGAAATGGGGCCACTCGTCAAATCTAAGGATCCCTGTGGGCTGAATTTCAGCCTAGAAAACCACATACTAACATTCCCTATGTCCTATTGTAGTTCATTTATTTCATTAAATATTTTCAAATTACATTTAATCTGGTTCAAGCCAGGCTGCATGTGGCCCAGAGGCGCCATGTTTGACTTTTCTGATCAGCTCAGTCTCTCAGGGGTGAGACCTTGGTGTGAGCCCTGCTTGCCCCTTCCTTCTATCTCACCTCTAATGTTTAATCACTAAAATCTGCCAACTCTCTCTCTGCAGCATCACTCATATCCATCCCTTTTTTGTTATTGCTGCAACTTATAGCCTTCTCCCCACCACAGACCCGCATTATTTCTTGTTAGGACTATCGCTGTGCAGCTAGGTGGTGAAGTGGATAGAGCACCAGGCCTGGAGTCAGGAAGATCTGAGTTCAAATCCATCCTCAGAACGCATTCGCTTTATGGCCCTGGGAATATCACTTAACCTCTGTTCACTTCAGTTCCTCATCTGTAAAATGGGGACACGCTGGAGAAGGGAATGGCAAACCACTCTAGTATCTTTGCCAAGAAAACCCCATGGGCAAAGTCCATGGAGTCACATAGAGTTGGGTATGGCTGAATGGCTGTACAACAACCAAAAGGCTCATTGCTCTAGTGCAATGGTAGCCTCAGCCGCCCACCTCGCTTCTCTCTCTGCTATAATCCTAGGCATCATTGACAGAATAATAATGCTTTAGCATTGATCCCACCATGTCGCTGCTCTGAGCAAAAATGCCTTTCCTTGGCTCTCTCTTCCCTCTCAAGTTCAGACTCCTCGACCTGCCGTTCAAAGTCCTTCATAATCTATTATCCTGTCTTTCCAGGGCTGTCTTATCCTACTCTGTAGCTAGACTGGATACTTTCCTCCTTGTACACGCCACACTTTTCTTTGAGGCAATCCGGGTTAAATGACTTTCCCAGGGTCACGCGGCTACTAATGCGAGAAGAGGGATTTCAACCCAGTTTTCCTCCTCCAAGCCCCGAAGTCTATCTCCTGTGCCATTTTCCTTCTCTTTGATAGAATGTTCTAACAGAAGTGGAGTTCTGTTACTCCATTGTAGAGTAACTTGGGACTTACCTCATTGTTCTCCGTTTGACTTATTTTTGATCAGAAGGAGGAGATGCTGCTGCAGGTGGCACTGGGATGAAGTAATACCCTGGCCATGGATATCTGGGGTAGCCGAAAGGTGGGTAGGGTGGGTAGGCGCCAAACGGGTACCAGTAACGATTCCCATAAAACCCTGCAAACTGTTCATCGCTTTCACTCTCCAGCTGCGACAAAGAAGTAAGATAGAGCTTCATTATTTAAAGTGTGGAGGTACAATAAATAGCTATTTAACAGAAGGATGCATGATGTAAACCAGCTGGTCTTGAAACCAAGAAGACCTGGGTTCAAGTCTTCGTATGTACGGGCTGTGTGACCTTGGGGGAGTCACTTCTTAGGCTCCCAGGCAACTCTTTAAGACAATACGGTGCTTAGAAAGTGACAGCCTAGATTGCTACATCTTTTATCACCTGGGACTTCCCTATAAAAATGAAAGCCAAGGTGAGTTGCCCTCTCAATAAACATTTATTGTTGTTGTTGTTTCAGTCGTGTCTGACTCTGTGGCCCCATTTGGGATTTTCTTGGCAGAGATACCAGAGTGGTTTGTCATTTCCTTCTCCAGCTCATTTTACAGATGAACGGAAGCAAACAAAGTTAAGTGACTTGCCCAGGGTCACACAGCTAGTTAGTGTCCGACGTTAGATCTGAACTCCAGAATATGAGTCTTCCTGACTCCAGGCCTAACACTATCTACTGAAGCGCCACCTAGCTGCAACGTTTATTAAGTGCTTGCTATACACCAGACCCGTATCCCATTGTGGAGTGGAAGAGAGGGCCTGAATTCAAACCCTGCCTCTCTCTTCTGTACTTTCTACCTAAGTACCCTTGGACAAGTCACTTAACTTCCCTGGGCCTCAGTTTCCTTACTGAGGTTGCAACATTTCTCTTACATTCTCTTTTCTCCACTCATGTAACTGCCACCCTGATACAGCCCCTCATCGCCTCTCATCTGGACTACCGCAATAATCTCCTGTCCCCAAGTCTCTCCTCATCACAGTCTACCCTGCCCTCAGCTGCCAAAGTGATTTTTCCAAAACCTAGCTCCTCCCCGCCCCCCAAAGCTCCAGGGGCTCTCTGTTTCCTCCAGCATCTAATGTAAATTCTTTGGGATTTAAAGCTGCTCACAATCTGTGCCCTTCCTGCCTTTCCAGTCATCTTCTGCTTTCCTCCTCTCCTTTCGATCTAGCCACACTGGCCTCCTTGGAGTTCCATGGACAGGTCACTCCATCTCTGTCCTCCATATTTTGCTGGACTGTCCTTCGTGCCCAGGCTGCCCAGCCCCTTCCCGTCTGCCTCTCCTTGACTCTCCTCAGGACTCAGCTCAAACCCCTCTCCTCTGGGATCACCTTCTGTCTCCTCTGTAGGTATCTTCTATGTATTTCTTTATTTACATGGTGTCTCCCTCATTCTAATGGACGCTCTTTGTTTTTGCCTTTCCTTGTCCCCGGGGCTTATGACAGTACCTGGCACATAGTAGGCACTTAAGATTAAGTCAGCTGGGTGGCATAGTGTGTAGAGCACTGGGCTTGGAATCAAGAACTTGTTATTTAATCATGTCCAATTCTCCATGGCCCCATGGTCACGGAGTCAGGAACATGTGAGTTCAAATCCAACCTTAGATACTTTCTAGTTGTGTGGCCCTGGGCAAGTCACTGAACCTCTGCCTCAGTTTCCTCAACTGTAAAATGGGGATAATAATAGCATCTACCTCCCAGGGTTGTTTTCAGGATCAAATAAGATAATACTTGTAAAATGCTTAACAGATAGTAGGCACTTAACCAATGCTGTCCCCACCTCCTTTTTGATTGACCTTCCAACTCTAGTTTAAATTTCTGATCCTATTTCTAAGTTTATCGGGACAATTATTTGCTTAGAGGAGGTCAGGGTACAAAGTCACTTCCAGCTGATCGTGGCCCATGTGGGCTATCTGAAGCATCTCAATCAGTAGATAATTTCGTCCATAAAATAGAGCTGGGGCAGACTAGACAGGGTCATCTCATCCAGTCGCATTCAAGCAGGACTTTCCTCACCTCGTTGGCACTTGGACTTGTTTATATTCTATTTATCTGCCTGTTCCTCAAACCCACTACTTTGACTTTTGTCAGGCTTCACCAGAGAGATTTCTTTCAGATGCCAAGTCTTCTGCCAAAATAATAATAATGATAATTATAATAAATCTTTTGTAGAAACTGATCTTGCCATTGGGACAAAAATAAGTTGTTGGTCTTTTGGTCTACTTAGCCACTGTTGAAATAAACAGAACCTTAGGGCCTCCCAATCCCCAACTCCTTAGCGACTCTTTTCTCAAGGGCATAGAACCAGACCTGGAAAGGACTTTGGAAATCATTTAGAACAGCTCCCTCAATTAATAAGTGAAGAAACAGAGGCCTTGAGGGGATAGGTGACTCACCTAAGGCCACTTGGCTAGCAAATGTAAGCATCGGTACTTGAACCCAGATCTCGACTCCCTTTATCTGCTTTCAGAGCAGACGCTTGAACTGTGCTGAGCAAAGGAGGGCACTGACCACTGAGGTGGATTAGCCTAGTCATAACATCATATTTGGGTAGTGTTTCATCCAAATCCAACCAGATAATTACTCAAGCTAGCCATCATTTTCATTCAGAACCGGTTTGGACAATACATAACTATATGTCTCTGATTTCCACTTATGTAAAGAGAAAAGCTCTGCAGTCAGAAACAGTTTCCTAAAGTGCTGATGTCTGAAACTCCTTCAATATAATTTGAGGTTTAAGATAGACACGCATAATGATTTTTAAAGCTGGCACATGCTGGGATATTTACGGACAATTTATGTGGGGCAGCAAACTTGGGAGAAACCACACACTTCTCAGTGGATTGTATTTGAAGTCAGACAACCTGGGTTAGAATTGCAATTTCACAATTTGCAGCCTGTCTGACCTGGGGCATAATATGTGGCCTCTTTGGGGCTCAGTTTCCTCATGTGTAAAATGAAGAGATTCAGCTCAGTCATCATTAAGATCCCTTCCAACGTAAGCAATATGGTCCTATGACCTGGAGACTAAAACCAGGGCCAGTGCATACTTTGACAAGTTCAGGCGGGCATTCCATTTTTCTTGATGCTGTTACAACATGGCTTCCATGCAAACTTCCTGACTACTATTTCTTTTTTTTAGCATTGCCAGGAAGCATATCGATTTATGTTCAGTGCCAAAGCATTGATTATTTGAAGTTTAGCTCTGTTTTGATTTCCTTGTCTAGTTAACCATGATTAACCATAAAATAGGACCGGTAAGGGGCGCCATGGCACACAGACGCCAGCCTGAAGTCAGGAAGACTCATCTTTGTGAGTTCAAACCTGGCCTCAGACACTGACTAGCTGTGTGACCCTAGGCAAGTCACTTTACCCAATTTGCCTCAGTTTCTTCATCTGTCAAATGAGCTGGAGGAGGAAATGTCAAACCACGCCAGTATCTTTGCCAAGAAAAATCCCCAAAGGGGTCACAAGTTAAACACGACTAAAAAGACTGAACAACAGCAACAAAAACAAACATAAAATGGCCTTTTTTGCTTATCTTCCTTGGCTTAATTTAAAATTAATTATCTCATTATTTTCCAAACTCCCTGCTGATTGCTTCTTACATTAGAGAACTGCCACATAATGAGAAGATGGGACTCATTGGAAAAGACCCCGAGGTTGGGAAAGATTGAAGGCAAAAGGAAAAGGGGATGGCAGAGGATGAGATGGACGGAGGGTGTCATGGAAACAACGAATGAGAGTTTGGACAGACTTCAGGAGACAAGGGAGGACAGAAGGGCCTGGCGTGCCGTGGTCCATGGGGTCATGAAGAGTCAGACATGACTGAATGCCAAACAACAAAAACAATTTTCAGAAAAGGAAGCCCGCTAAGCGTATTTCTTTCTACGGCATTTTCAGATGATTTCACAGAGGCAATATGGCAAGAGGAAGAGGAACTCACACTTTGCTTTTCCCGTTCCTGGTCCTGAGCAGCCTAAAATACAAGCCAGTAGAAATCTGTCAGATGCAAGCATGCATGTGGACACACACACACGTACCCACACACACACCAAAAAGAAATGACTGAGGAGGAGATGACATAGAGAATAGAGGCAGGTGTGGCACAGAGAAAAGAAAGCTGCATTTGAAGACAGAGGACCCGGGCTCACTTCCTGTGTGACCCTGAGCAAGTCACTTGACTGCAGAGGGCCTCAGCTTCCTCATCTGTAAAATGAGGAGGTTGGATTAAGTGAACGTCTGGACATGGGGCCGCTAGGTGGCGCAGTGGATAGAACGCCGGCCCTGGAGTCAGGATGACCTGAGTTCAAATACAGCCTCAGACACATGATACGCTCTAGCTGTGTGACCCTGGGCAAGTCACCTAACCCCAATTGCCTCACCAAAAAAACAAACAAACAAGAAAAAAAAAAACCATCTGGGCAACAACAACAAAGGCCCCTTCTAGCCTGAGATCTATAAGTCTGTGACTATCAACAGCATGACTGTCTTACTGCTTCTCAGGATCTGCCATGATGTATTGTTGTTGTTGTTCAGTCATTTCAGCCCTGTCTGACTCTCCGTGACCCCATTTGGGGTTTTCTTGACAAAGATACTGGAGTGTTTTGCCATTTCCTTCTCCAGCTCATTTTACAGATGAGGAAACTGAGGCAAACATGGTTAAGTGACTTGCCTAAGGTCATACAGCTAAGAAGTGTCTGAGGATGAATTTGCATTCAGGTCTTCCTGACTCCAGGCCCCATGTGCTATCCACTGCAGCGCCCCCTAGCTGCCTCTGGCACAACGCTCATTGTCTTGACCCTTCATCCAGGCTATGAATGCCCCGACTCTGAGCTCTCCCGATGGACAGGTTAGATGGTCAGAATCATGAGATTTCTATGTAACTTAACCTTTCACTTAAGAGATAAAAAGCTGAACCCAAGAGGAAGGTGAGCTTCCCAGCCATGGCACTAATGGACCCCATCCATCCTGAAGACGCTATTGCTCATTTCCTATTTAAAAACCAGAAGACCAGTGAGGAGAAGGAAAGAGGCCAAAGTCTAATAGAAGGAGGGAAGCAAGAGCTCTTGAATACAAAAACCGAGCTTACCAGGGAGCCCAGAGTTATGGCGATGACAGCTACAATGAGGAGGGCTTTCATGATCCTCTGCAGTGTGCGTCCTGGCGGCAAGAAGTGCAACATCGTGACCAACACATAGCATTGCTAAGGCATCTTCAGGAGACACAACTAGTGACTTTAGGGGGATCGCTTTATCTCTGGGCCTCAGAACAGGGAGGGCATTGACTTAGAAGGTCCCTAAGGTCCCTCCCAGGTCTGACAGTTTATGACTCTGTGACACCGCCACTATTCAACCTATAATTTATGTATCATAGCTTGATTTGCCTGAATCCCTTAGCAAACTGTAGAAAACTTTCCACACCTTTGTTCTGAAGTGCTGAGGTTAACTTTCCATACCAAAGTTATGGTATGGAATATAATAAGAATAACAATAAGTTTATATTATATATTACCAAAATATAGCATAAACAATATGGTATAATTATAGAATATAAATAAGGTTATGAAAGAAGATTATAATTATATTATAAATAATAAATATAATATATAACATAAATAATAAGTAACACTATAATTATATAATATATAATCTTATACATAAATAATATTGTAAATATGATATAAACAACCAATGCTATTATATTAATATTATATAAATATATAATATAAATAACATACCATATGTTATATATTTGGTGTGATATATGATTATGTAATATATAAGTAATGTTGTAAATTATATTATAATATATTATAAATAATGCATGCTATTATGATGATTATTATACTGGCATTTTTATAACGTTTTAAGATTTGCAAAGCACTTTATGAATATTATCTTATTTCATTCTCAAAATCATCCTGGGAGGTAAGTGCTATTATTACCCCCATTTTATAGTGGAGTAAAGTAAGATAGACAGAGGTTAAATGACTTGTCCAGGGTCACCCAGCTGGTGTCTGAGGCTGAATTTGAACTCGGAGCTTCTTGACTCCCAGTCCAGCGCTCTATCCACAGTGCTACCTGACCGCCATGATTCCACGATGGCAGATATAGCATGTTGCCTTCAGCCAATGGAGACAGAGGAGGAGGGACCTTGACAGGGTGGAGGACCTGAGGCAGAAGGGGATTGGCCCTAATGGGACAACTTTTCTTTGTTCTCTTTTATTGTGATTTCTCATTTTAATGGGGACACATCTTGTCTTCCTTACTAGATTATAAGCTCCATGAAGACAGGGGCTATGCCTTTCTCTTCTTTGAAATCTTCAAAGCTACCAGCCTAGATACAGTAGGATTTCACTAGCTGCTTGTTGAATTGAATCGAACTCCAGGTTAGAGAACATTTAGCAAAATAGTGTTCTGGTAAGTAAGGAGAATCTTAATGAAATGCGACCTTCAATTAACTATTTTTTTTCTGCTTTAAGAGATATAGCAATGACTCAACAAACATCTACACGCTCAGACTATGTTCAAGGAAGAATGAAACAATCTCTGCTAACAACTTGCTTACCTTCTAGTAGGGAAGTCAATAAAAATCGTATGAAATACATGCGATAAAAATTTTAAGTTAATTATACAGACACAAATATACGCACAGGGGAATATAGACAGTACAGTGGCTAGAGCACCAGGCTTGGAATCTGGGAGATTCACCTTCCTGAGCCAAATCTGGCCTCAGACACTTACTAGCTGTGTGACCCTGGGCAAGTCACTTAACCTTGTTTGCCTTAGTTTTCTCATGGGTAAAAATGAACTGGAGAAGAAAATGGCAAACCACATCTTTGCCAAAAAAACAAAAAATGAAAAACAAACCCAAGTGGGGTCACGGAGAATTGGACATAGCTGAAAATGACTGAGCAACAACACAGAGACACAATACTCTGTTAATTAAAGATCGTATGGGTATCAGGAAGGGCTTCAGATGGCATTTGAGCTGTATCTGAAAGGAAGGAAAGACTCTAAGAGGTGCAAGTAGGGAAGGAGTTTAGTTACAGGCATCGGCGATGACCAGTGAGAGTTATAGCCCCTATCTGAACTCGATCCCTGTCTGGACAGAGCACTGGGCTTGGAATCCAGAATACCTCAGTTCCAGTCCAGCCTCTGACACTTACTAATTGTGTGATCCTGGGCAAGTCACTTAACCACTCTCAGTCTCACTTTCCTCATCTGTAAAATGGGAATAATAATGGCATCTACCTCCCAGGGCTGCTCTGAGGATCAAATAACATGTCATGTAAACTACTTTGCAAACTTTAAAGCATGATATAAATTATGAATATTATTGTAGCCCTAAAGCAGTGCTATAATAATAGTAACAATAATAAAACCACATTTAATTCCCATCTAAATAGAAAGAATATCAGAGTGACTGTTGAGTGGTTTTATTTCTGCTTTCCATTGCCTTCTCCCCCAACCCAGCTAGGAAAGATACTATTCCTGATCTTGGCATCTTGGGCATTCGGATCTTTGGTAAATGATAGATACCAGTATTATTTGTTTCAGTGGAATTTAGTGAGTCAGTTAAGATGATCACGTAAACATATGCTTAGCCTTGGATGGGAATTACATATGTATATAATATATATGCGAATATATCATTATAGCCCTAATTCATTTAAAAACACAGAAATCCTTTCCGGCTTCATCACAAATTCAGTACGGATTCAAGGGCCAATCTCCTAGACCTTACTGTCTATACCAATAGCACTAACGAGTATTGATTGAAGTTCAGAATAAAGAAAAATTACAATATTCTCAAAGAAAGAGGTTAATTATGCTCGCTATACATGTTACCAAAGCCAGAAGGAAGACAGACTAATAATGTACTTCTGACATAGTTTTAACTACCAGATTGAAATTTTAAAAGGGTTTCCTTATCGATATTTTAACTAGAACACCTCATTCCCCAGGTATTCTAATTAATAGAAATTTTAAAAATGAAATACAAATTCTTTTCATTGAGGCCCAACGAAGAACTACTTCATTATTAAAAGCTCTCTTACCTCAGACTTTGGGCTCAGATTCTTCCTTTAGATTCCGGTGTGAGAACAGAGAATAAAGGTGGCCCCACCACCGACAAACATTTTATATATTCAGAAGCAGGATGGAATGAAGCTTGTGGCTTGCGAGCCTCTCCCCTGGGATCCAACATTATCCAGCTGGATCAGGGAATGTCCCAGGGTGTTGAAATTAGGGATCAATCTGGTATTCCCCTTTTCATAGAAACCGTATTAAGGGGACTAGTGAGTAGTTTAACTTCCGCTTCCCAACCCATTTGGGAAAGATATTAATCCTGATCATGGGATCTCGGGCATTAGCATCTTAATACTTGGTCAATGATAGTGTCAATACCAGCATTATTTGTTTCAGATGATATTTAATGAGTCAGTTAAGATGATCATATAAAACATGTGCTTAGCCTTGGGTAAGAATGCCATATCCTTTGGGGTAATGCCCATTGGGTAGAGCATCCTTTCAAGGAAATGCAGCATTTTAGCTAAGAGTGATAAGCCAAGAGGTAAAACTTAGTCATGGATGAGACACAGACCTGTCTGATGTTAGTTATTCATGTTGGTTAAACAGCAGAACATTTTATGCAATAAATGACACATTTAGATAGATAGATAGATAGATAGATAGATAGATAGATAGATAGATAGATAGATAGAT